TTTAGTCGTAGTCGAAGATTGTAAACGATTAAATACATTTATTAAGAATGTCGATAAAGATAAAAAAAAGTCATTTTAATTGAAAAGCAAGTGAATATAATCCCATCAAGTCGAACAAACACGGTCGTAAGCGACCGTATACGGAAAAATACGGGTGGGTGTGGGTGTGATTTTTCTCTTCTCTCAAATGCATACACGAAACAAATTCTTACTGGTATGTTTTCAAAAATGGATCTCTACGTATTATACCAAAAGCTAGCGAGATCTCGTGCATACTGCACGGCTGCTTTTTCCTGTAAAGTTTCACATCTGTGCTTTAGCCTTGATCCGGTAATAGACAATCAGATATTTCGCTTTATATATGTAGATAGACTTTATAGCCTTATATCTTTGTAGAGTTCCCTTCTTGTAGCCTTTACTCTTGTAGTATTATCCGCTTATAGGCTTATTCTCTTATACCTCAATCCCTTATACCCCGGTAGCCTTATTCTCTTGTAGTTGTAGCCCTCATACCCTTGTTCTCTTACATTCTTATCCATGATACGTCTGTAGCCTTATCCCCTTATCTCCATATTCCCTCAAAGCCTTATGATCTTTGACTCGTGATCCTTGATCCGGCACAGACAGACACACACACGCAGACACTGAACATTATATATATAGATGATATTGCCATAAAGTCTCTTTGTAGAATGATGATTTTGTATGAGATAACAGAACGATGTTTTTGCAGAGAAAATAAAGTTTTAGACGTTTTTGTGTTTAAAAACCAGTTGTTTTCAGTCCGGAAGCTTTAAGCAAAATTCAATTGAGATTCACTATTGACGGTTGAATTCGTCTACGATTGCGTCGATCGATGAATATAGTATTCTTTAGATGAACTCCGAGTTTTCGCCATTGACGCCAAAAACGAATATCTAATGCTGCAACAATTATTGGATCACATGCTATTTCCACAAGACTAAGTAGCGTAACGACATTGATCACATTCTGCTGACGAAATGACACTTGAAAAATAATAACATATGGTGACAAAAGTATACCCCAAATAAAATAAAAACAGAAAAATTGAATGACTAATGAACGATGATATTTTTCACGAGCTGAAACATGATGTTGTGTCGATTGTAAAACTGATGTTAAATGAACATGATGAATACTAGCATAAATCAACAGCATGTTCAAGAACATTGGTAATGCATACGCGAAAATTGTATTAAATATTTGAACATAGATATTCGTATAAAATACTTCACAACTATCTCTAATAGGGTCTTTTATCTGAGTCCAACCAACAAGAAATTCAACGATGCAAACAACTAATGGTATTAAATAGATACAAAACTGAATGAAGATCAATAGTTTCATATGCACTTGGTATACATTACGATTGTATG